AGTAGTAACAATGTTTGCTATTAGAAACAAGTGCATCGCTACTAGTAACAAGTGCCTTACTAGTAGTAACAATTTTTGCTTTGAGAAACAAGTGCATCGCTACTAGTAACAAGTGCCTTACTAGTAGTAACAATGATTGCTATTAGAAACAGGTGCATCGCTACTAGTAACACGTGCCTTACTAGTAGTAACAATGTTTGCTGTTAGAAACAAGTGCATCGTTACTAGTAACAAGTGCCTTACTAGTAGTCACAGTGCATCGCTACTAGTAACAAGTGCTTTACTAGTAGTAACAATGTTTGCTATTAGAAACAAGTGCAGCGCTACTAGTAACAAGTGCCCTACTAGTAGTAACAATGTTTGCTATTAGAAATTGTTGTGAGGTGATGAAGCGAATTCAAGCTTGTGGCTCACAGTCTGGTGAAGTGAAAGGACGAAAGAAAGCGCAGCTGTGAAACAAACTGTTGCGCCATCCAGGCTAGCAGACTTGTAAATACGAGCATTCTTGTGATTCTTGTGGACAATTTTTGCCAATATCCGAAAGAAACCATTGTCTTGTAAGAAGAACATGCTATGCAACGTGCTATTGCAGAACTCATGCTTTAAAGTAGCATTCTGACTAGAAGCCCAAAAGGCTTTGAAGGCTCAAAAGGCATTTATTTGTAGCAGTTGAAAGAGAATGGGTCTTCTTTTTGGAGCTCCAAGTCTTCGCAGTCTTAAAAAGACAAGAGAATGTTCTTTTTGCAAGTAGTTATGTAGAGGAGAAAGTGTGCAAATACTTGCAGTAAGACTAGCTGAGTAGCCTACAGAGAGGCCGTACGAGCTGTAAGAGGCTTGGTCAGGAAAACGTCATTGTTATTAGTAGCTTCTTGCTCCTAGTAGCAATGGCCTCCACCTAATAGCGTCCTTGTTACTAGTAGCGATGGTCTTGGTCCGGAGGATCTGTGGTCATCAAGAGCTGTGGGGAACTGCGAAGTGCTGAAGATGAGCAGAAGTCGCGTGATCGCTTCCGCCGCTCGCGCTCACGCTCCGCCAGTCGCCGGAGACCACGGAAGCTCTCTGACAGAGTCCTTGCCTAGCGAGATTAGTTTTAGATGACAATGACAATGCTACTAAGCTTAAACTTTGAGCCTCAAAAGCGCAACTTGCTTCTGATTTGCGATGCCATTTGTTTTTGATCGAAACAATCCCGCCCACCACATGCAATGCAGACAGAAGGAACACAACGAAAAGGAAAGCAGAATCTGGCTATCGCAGAAAGAATTCTGCGGCACAAGACCGCCAAGGAGCAGGAAGACAAGTGAAGCTGAGCACAAAGACTGCCAGCGGTTTCTCATGCCTTTCCACTCAGCTGCCTTGGAGAACGCACACCAGAGCAGAGCGCGAGAGGGCCCGAGGGTGTACAATTTGGATGAGGCTTGTGGATGAAAAAGATCCTTTCGGATATGCAAATACTTTAGCACTATCAACCTTTCTGGACATGTCACAGTACAGTAGACACATGGTCACATGGTCTGTGCACAAGGCCTCACATCTCGAGATATTTCTTTCACTTAATTCTGAGGCCAGCGTACGGCGAGCTGCTGCATCTGCGTTGGGCTCCATTGGCTGTCAACTCAGGCTGCAAAGACAGTGGTGGCATTCACATCGTCGAATAAACAAGTCATGTGAGTCATGCCCGAAGCCTTGACTCTGGAATTTGTTTCAGCTGATTGGGAAGCGTTCCCAAACATTTGGAAGTGTGAAGATTTGCAAGATGCAATGCCGGTGGCAATCAATAACAACATGTAGATTGATATCCGATATCCAATCAGAGCGACTTTGAGGAATGGTTGACTGAGCGTTTTTGTTCACTGTGTTCATCATGTGTTGATCATCAGTCTCATCATGTCTATTCTTAGGCTCCGCTTCACGTCGTTTTTTCTCGGAGCCTGTGGCTCTTGGCCATGGCGCGGTGGTTTTCGTTTTCGTCGTCCTTTTCTCCCTCCGCCTGTGGCCGGTGTTCTCTATCTGCGCCATGGGTGCCGCCACGGCCGTCTTGGCCACCGTCACCGGCGCCAAGAATCTCCACATTGGCAAAGTCAGCTGCCACAAGTACATGTCTTCACGAGCTGTTCACTCCCACAAGAGGAAACAACATGAAACACACCTTTAATAATTTAAACAGGCACTTTTTTTTTTCTGGATATTCCGCCTTAAAGATGGTGGGGCAATGAAATTTGTATGAGCAACTCAATGACTTTTGTCAGGTCTGATGTCCTCTCAATCTCAGTCTCAACTGGCTCTTTGCCTTCAAGGCCCTCAGCATTGGCCTTTGGCCTGCGGCGGCTTGGAGCCACTGCAACTGCAACAGCTTTGTGCTTGAAGGGTGGAGGCCCTGCTTTTTGATGTCTTTTTCTTTTTTTACATCTTCAATAGTGTTACTGTATTCGATTTGTTTTTGGTTTGGATTGATCAGTAATTAAACTTCATGTCACATGCAGAGAGGAGTTAAGGGCCTGGGGCAGCCTCGATCGTTTGCAGTTGTTTACCTCCAAGCTGTACTTTCAAGGGTTGGACGCTTCAACCTGTATGATGAGAGAAAAATCAGTCTTCCACTCCTGATGTAGATCCAGCTAAGCTCCTTCCTTTTTGAGTTTTGAGCAAGTGCGCCAGGCCAGCGCACGCGCTGTAGCGCGAAAGATGAAAAGCAAGACGGCACCCAGCAAAACCTCCAAGTTCTACAGGGTGAATTTCCAGAAGCCCGGCGAAGCCATGCAAAGCCACAGCTAAGACGCACGTTTGGCATGCGTTGCGGATGATCAGAAGCATCCTATTCTTAAAATAGAGAGCAGTCCCAGGCCTTTTGTCTTGGACCTTTCGTTCCTTCCTTCCTTCCTTCTTTCCTTCTTTTCTTCTTTGCTTTTTTCCTTTTTTCCTTTCTCTTCTTGTCTTGTTTATGCCTTTTCACGGTTTTTCCCTAGCAGCAGCATGCTTTGGGGTCTTCAGCCATAGGTAAAGGTTTTGGAGCAAGCCGGAGCAGCTCCCAAAGACATTCCCCCAGGTTCCCACAAACTTCCCACAAGGTTCCAAGGTTCCCGCCAGATTCCCACAAGGTTCCCAAGGTTCCTGCAAGGTTCCTGCGAGGTTCCTGCAAGGTTCCCAAGCTTCCCACAACTTTGTTCCACAAGGTTCCCCCAAGGTTCCCACAGCTTTCCAACGTTCCTACAAGGTTCCCACAACTTTGTTCCACAACGTTCCCACAACTTTGCCCCACAAGGTTCCCACAAGGTTCCCCCAAGGTTCCCCCAAGGTTCCCAAGGTTCCCACAAGTTTGCTCCAAGGTTCCCACAGCTTTGCTCCAAGGTTGCCCCAAGGTTCCCACAGCTTTGCTCCAATGTTCCCACAAGCTTCCCACAACTTTGCTGCAAGGTTCCCAGAAGCTTCCCACAACTTTG